AGCAGGAATTTTTTCAAAATGTTGGCCTTTCATAAGCTAGCGATGAGCCATTCGACTTTATGCTTATCAAGCAAAGCCCCCACCACTGCGTTACTTTAAGAATAATGCAAGCCCCCTAGGAAACCTCGTCCTTTAGCCGGTTACTGCCTTGTTTTAGGAACAGAGCCATGTTTGATGTTATTTATCTCAAATATAATAGAACATATGCTTGAAATTTTCTTGCTAAAACTTTGCAAGTCCACCTTTAGAGTAAGAGCTATAAACTGACTCAAGTTTTCTCTTTTTGAATGTCAGAAAACCACCTCCTGTACACAGTGATTCTGCTAAATTCTTTCCTTGCTCATTAGAATTACCATGAGTATTCTGTAGCCAGGCCAGTGAAAGACTGCCAGTATTTACAGGAAGAGAGGGAGAAAGACACACACACAAAACCAGACAGGTAAAAGACTTTACAACCACTACAAACAAGAAGACAGAAGTCTGCAAAAATAAGAATAAAGTTGGTGGCAAAACTGGGTAAAAAACAAAACAACTAAACACCCCCCCGCAACACCTCTTTCAGATAAAAAATAATCTTATCCTTTAAACTTTCATCTGTGACACTGTAGCCATCGATGTTTTTGAACCACTTACTACAAAACTGGTGATTTCCCTTCTGATACCTTGCACTTCTATGACAAGTATACTTTGCAGCGTGCTGAGTAGCTTGTAGAATTAATTTGCATTGGAAACCAAAATAATTTTGTGACCTCAACCCTGCTTGCACTTGTTTAGCCCAGGCTGTTGTTGTTCATGGCTCATACTGGCAGGAGCACTGAGAGAATGACAAGCTGGGTAGATGGATTTGCTCTTCTCCACTTTGAGGAAGAAGACAGCCTGCATAAATAGGCAGGTAAGAGGAAAGGGGGCCCTAAAGACTAGACTGGTGCAATCAATAGGAGTTTATGGTTTACGTCACATAAGGAAAATCATGCTCGAGCATAACAATGATCTGGACTTACAATGGGTTGATGAGCCTCTGATGGTCCTGACCGGCTGCTGGAGGGCTAGAGGACACAGGTAAAGAATTTCCCTTGTGTTACAGCCTGGAATACCTGGGCTTAACTGTTTAAATACTAATTATATGGTCTTAATTTATAAAAAAATGATTTTGCTGAAGTCTGAGGATTCTATTGGGTAACTTCACACTTCACCAGTCCCTGCTAATACATAGCACACATATACAGGTTGGTTCATCCTCCAGAACAGTTTGCTGGAAGATGCTGGAAGTCATCGTTGTACATCTTTGACAAAAGCATATTTTGGTTCATCTTTTGGCTCAGCAAGGTGGTTAAAACAGTGAATGTAACAGAAAGAAATGGCATTCAGTGCAGCACAGAAAAACACAAGTTATCCAGCTACCCGAAGGTAAAAGGTTTCCCTCAAACTGTTCCCATGTCAGACACTTTCAGAGGTGAAATCACAGTGTAAATGGTGAGAGTCTGAATGATTATGGTATCTTACAGGATGGCAAGGTGGGTACACCTTCCCAGGGCACCCAGAGCTCCCTAGGGGATAGAAACTGTAATACAATCTTGTACAAGTGGAAGCACAATCCTGTAGGATTGTCTCAAAACATACTAGGATGTCTCATATCTTTTCTATATTTGGGTCATATTGCCAGTCAACTCTCCAGCTTATTTCCACAAAAATAGAAAAGCTGTGCAACTAGAAAAAAAGGAGAAATCCAAATTTAAAAACAGGTCACCACTTCAAAAATATATATATATATTCATCACCACTTCACCAGTAAATCAGTAGCTCACTAAGAACTGCTACATGGTAAAAGCATTCAAATGATCTCTCTTGCTAGTAGCTCAACACACTGAGAGCATTGCTGCAACTACCACCTTGTGCTGTAGTTCAGCTTTCATATTATAAAGAATCAAAAGTCTTCAGGCCCTCCTGGTTGAAAAGAGAGCCTTCAGAACACGGCCTGCTGGTATGGTGCATCTACATGGCATTTTGCATTGCAATTTAGAGAGACCTCAACTGCTCAGGTCAAGTCAATCTGTGTACCTGCAAGTAAAGCAGCTCATGCAGGTCTCCAGTTCAATGGCAGCCATTAAGCGGACACACTGAACAGGCACGCTGTTCAGGCAGGCACACTGAACAGAAAAACACATGGAACTCCAAGTATTTCTGAATAGGATGCCTTGGAGATCAGTGTTATCACTGAGTTAATTCTCTTCCAAGGATTAGAGCTTTTCCCTGCTGCAGTCCCTTTTGGTAGGCTGGCCAGGGCAAGTGGGATTGCTGAAACAGCAATAAAACTAAAAAGTTTTCAGGTCCAAAGAATTAAATACTTGACCCATGGGAATAGCCTGACAGGGAAAGTTTAGAAGTTACATATTACAACTGGAAAAGCCTCAAAAATGTCCCACAAAAACCCCTGCATCATTAACCCGTAACAACAGACACAAAATCCGTATTTCAATACATTTTGGAGTACTATTTCTCAAATATTTTGGATGCACCATCCTCCTTCAGGATCATTAGTCTTTCTTGTCAATTGGCCAGGGAAGAGATAACCATCAGTCTTTACTTACAGCAGCTCAGTTTCTCTAACACAGGGAAATAAGAAGTCCCTGTAAGTGCTGACTGACAGCACATAGACACTGAACTCCCCTCTCCTCCAGAAGAGGGGGTCCCCGGTTAGCTCTGCCCTGCCATCCCCTATCTCCCTCTTGCTACCAGGACCTATTGCTGCTTTTTCGGTCCCCAGTCCTGAAGGAACTGAGAGGGTGCTCCCACTAAGTCAGCATATTATTTTTGCTTTTTCTCTCTAAACAATGAATGTAATTAATATTTAATATAGACTATCTAAAATTCTTTTTAATGTTTTTAAAAACTCTTTGAACCTTTCATTAATTCCCTTGTAAGCTGCAATATATAGTTTGAGAAACATTGCTCCAGAAAAAGACATACAGTTTTTAAAAATATAAGAAAAAACAACACAAAATTTTATGTGGTAATATATTTATACAGTATTTGCATCAGTAAACAGATTTTACTGCTAATATATTTTTCATATTGGATCAAGGTTATGACAATTTATTGAACAGAATGGTTCCAATAAAATAAACTTTTTATAAGACTAACAATGACATAAAGTAAGGAAATACTATAACTAATACATACTCTGCAGGAAAACTCAGTCAGAATCCATTTTAACACTGCTGCAAAGAATGCCCAGTTCCCAGTGTCCCAAAGACAACTAGGCAACTGCAGAGCAAACAAGTTAGTATTGTATTCAAATTTAATCATTAAAAAGTGTAAAGTCATTAATTCTAATCATAAATGAAGAAAACAGAATATAGCATTGTCTCTAGATGAATGAAGGAGGTAATATAATCAAGTAAGGAAAAATACTAAATAAAAATAATAGAAGTAGCATTTTCTCTCAAACCAAAGACTCTATTGTTATTGTTGCTGTTGCATCTTAGGAAGCTGAAAATCTGAATACATCATAGTAGAAATATAATGCATATCATAGTGGAGAGACGATGCACATCTGATCCAAAATAAAGTCTGTTAAAAAAACTACAGATACTGAGCTGTTGGTGATTTTATAACGGTACAATTTAATCACATAC